GCGATGATTTCTTAGATTACAGTGTGTCTGTGCAGTGTCTTGACAAAGCTGAGAGGGTGCCCGTGCCTGTGTACTGGTTCCCAGCTTGTCAGGCAGCTGTCGAGGAGTGATTTATGACCACGAGACTCCAACCTGTCTTCACTGCCAGTTCAGTATTGTTACAACTGACAGCTAATGAGGCCAGACATGCTTTCAAGCAGAGCACTTAACAGGACTTCAATCTTCCCCCGTCACGAGTACCATTTTTGCACTCTCCCTCTCTCCACACAGAAGCAACCTCCTTTCTCTATGCCTGCCTTGTTCTCCGTCTCTCTGTGCTGGAATATCTGAAAAGGGCTTCCAAATTAAGAAGATGTTTCTCAGAAAGCAAAAGCAGCAGAAAAGTGTCACATTGTTAACGTATAATCTAATAATCAGCCCTTTTCTGTACCAGGATTTAAAAGAATAGTTCTAGAAATATTTGCTGTCTTGTAGAGAATGATACCTCTTAAATCAAATTATGAAGCATGGAGACAGTTAGCTTAGCTTAGCATAAAGACTGGAGGCAGGGCACCAGTATTTCACATTTATTCCACTTAATATGCTTTTACTCCACCACATTTTATACAAATATATTTAAACTTGAAGTTTGGGGACCAGTTTGGTGACAGTAGTCTCAAGCAAAACACTGTGGAACGGCATTATTGGAACACTTGTATATGTGCATTTAAATATTTATTTTGACAAACAGTATATTTAGTGTGCAGGACTTTTCTAACATTGGCACAATACCTTGAACAATATTGACATTTAATATCATTTTTAATACCACAAGGAAAAATTGACATCACAAAAGGCTATAAAATGACAATGACTACTTTTATTTATCTTAGCTTGTAGCTGGGAACATTAAAATAAATGTAATAAATATTAACAGTAACAGAGAGCAAGAGAGTGCAGCTGGTACCCATCAATACTGTGGAAAGTGGTATTGAAACGGTCTTAAATATTCAGAATTGATATGTATGGATAAATTGATATTTTTGACAACACTGCAAAATATGATGACCAAGTGGACATTCATTTATTAGAACAGTATTCATAATGATGATGTAACTGTAATTATACTTGGTAAATACAGTAGTTATGAGGATGTGTTTTTTTAATGCAACTTCCATGAACCCTGATCACATTTAATTTGGCGATGGTGGAGCGTTACTGTGCATTTACTTGAGTACTGTACAATTTTGAGGTACTTTTACTTTACTTAAGTATTTCAATTTTATGCTACTTTATACTTCTACTCCCCTACATTTAATAATTAAATACTGTACTTTGTTAACACCACTACATTTATATAACAGCTGGGGTTACTTCACAGATTAAGATTTTACAAACTAAACATTTGATTAGTCTATATGATATGATACTGTTTTACAGATAGCCTCTATAGCTGTAACATTTAAGTGTTTTGTATTTCTTAAAATATCATTAATAACAGACACAATAATATGATGTAATATAACTCTCTGAAAGGGACCACTTTGCTCAATAAGTATTTTTATAGTTCAAGTACAATTTGCTGTTAATACTTTTGTGCTTTAGCTTGTGTGCAATCTTGAATGACAACTTGACTTTTACTTGTTACAGAGTATTTTTACAGAGTGGTGTTGGTATTTTCAGGGCTGAGTACTTCTTCCACTTCATTTCTTTGTTGGTGTGAACCAGTAAACAAACCCTCTGACTCCGTTGCTGTGAATACGCAGGCAGTTTATAACAGAGTCTCTGGCAGCTCTCCAACCTTTAACCCCTTGTTCCTTGTCAGCCATGATTAATGGCAGGCTAACTAGCTGCTAGCTGGCATTGCCGGCTGTGCCATTGTGTCCTGGATACTTAATGAACTCTGACAAGTCTTTTCCGTCCTGTGCTGATGTGTTCATTAAATGCTGCAACAGCGTCTCCTGCAGGGCAATATAGGGAAATACAGACATCTACTATTAAAAATACTATCATACTATTATAAATGTTTCATGACATTTACAAATAAACTGCAAAGTTCAGGCACATAACTCATGGATAATTTTTCTAATTATTCAGGTTGTAGGTATCTCACCTCAATCTAACATTATAGATGCATGTGTTTTTGATATATAACATTAATTCAATATTTATTTAAACTTGCGTTCCTTTGGCTGTAAAAGTCATCTAGCTCCATGCTCAACATGTGCTGTACATGGCATACAAAACACAATATGTGTAATAAAGAAATAGTGTAAGAAATAAATACTTCTTCCATGCAGATGACTTTCCTGACGGGCCCCAGTCACACTGCTTTTGTGTAAGAGATCACAAGCAATAAGAAACCAATACACTGTATTTCATAATTGAATATATATTTTTTAATATTCAAATCTTAATCTGAAAAGCAGAAAGATGCAAAGACTGTACTCAAGTACAGTGGTGGAAGAATTACTAAGAGGTTTATTGTCATATGCATTAAAAAAGTAGAATGTACATTCAATGTGATGAAATACTTTATGCCATGGCTCTCTGTCAGCCCTTAAAACCTATAAATAATCCAACAAATAAAAATACATACCCTGAGAATAAAACAATAGCAACATATAATTAAGATAATAGCAGCATATAATAGACATAAATAATCCACAGCATCCACAGACCTTAGGTGCTACTGTTCAGTAGTCTGACTGCCTGGAGGTAAAAAAAAAATCTCTGTGGCGGGAGGTCCGACCTCTAATGCAGACTAACCCCTAACCCTGAGGAAAGATAAGAGAAAGGGCTGTAAACAGGATGACAAGTATCCTTTAAAATACAAAGTGCGCTCTTCCTGCAGCAGGTGGTGTTAATGTCCTGTATCTGAGGTGGTGAGCCTATGAATTTTGATGCTACTTTCACTATCCGCATGAGGTGTGTATGATCCTGTGCTGTGATGTTGCTAAACCATATGATAAATGACAAAGTATATAAAGTATATACAGTATATCATATAAAATATATATGTGAATTTCCCTCAGAGAATCAACAGTGTGTGTTAATACTGTATGTCATTATGTATTTGTTGATTAGATGTTGTATTATTTATCTGAATCTGCAAAGTAACTTAATGCTTTAAAAGAATGTACTGCAGCAGAACATAGCCTATAATATTTCCCTCTGAAATGCAGTGTAGTAGACGTACACTCACCTGCCACTTTGTTAGGTAGGCCTACACCTGTTCAACTACTCATTCATTCATTCATTTTCTGTAACTGCTTATCCTGTTGGTGGTCACCGGGGGCTGGAGCCTATCCCAGCTGACATTGGCCAAGAGGCAGGGTACACCCTGGACAGGTCGCCAGACTATCGCAGGGCTGACACATAGAGACAGACAACCATTCACGATTGGATTGTGGGAGGAAGCTGGAGTACCGGGAGATAACCCGCACTGACACAGTGACAACATGCAAACTCCACACAGAGGGGCTCCCTCACCCTGGAGTTCAAACCAGGAACCCTCTCGCTGTGAGGCAACAATGGTAACCACTGCACGACCGTGCCACCCTTTCAACTGCTCATTAACACAAATAGCTAATCAGCCAATCCCGTGGTAGCAACTCGATACATTTAGGCATGTAGACACGGTCAGGATGACCTGTTGAAGTTCAAACTGAGTATTAGGATGAGGAAGAATGGTGATTTAAGTGACTTTCAATGTGGCATGGTTGTTGGTGCCAGACGGGCTGGTCTGAGTGTTTCAGAAACTGCTGATCTACTGGGATTTTCACACACAACCATCTCTCATGGCCAGACTGGTTCAAGATGATAGAAAGACCATCTCTGAATGAACAACATGTTGAACCTTGAAGCAGATGGGCTACAGCAGCAGAGGACCACACCGGCTGCCACTCCTGTCAGCTTAGAACAGGAAACTGAGGATACAATTCACATAGGCTCACCACTGGACATTAGAAGATTGGAAAAACGTTGCCTGGTCTGGTGAGTCTTGATTCCTGCTGCAACATTCAGATGGTCAGGTCACAATTTGGTGTAAACAACATGAAATGCAGCATGGTTTAAATGCCACAGCCTACCTGAGTATTGTTGCTGACCGTGTCCATCCCTTCATGACCACAGTGTACCCATCTTCTGATGGCTACTTCCAGCAGGATAACGCACCATGTCACAAAGCTCAAATCATCTCAAACTGATTTCTTTAACATGACAATAAGTTCACTGTACTCCAATGGCCTCCACAGTCACCAGATCTCAGTCCAATAGAGCACCTTTGGGATGTGTTGGAACATGAGATTCACATCATGGATGTGCAGCCGACAAATCTGCGGCAACTGTGTGATGCTATCATGTCAATATGGACCAAAATCTCTGAGGAATGTTTCCAGCACCTTGTTGAATCTATGACACGAAGAATTAAGGCAGTTCTGAAGGCAAGTGTGTGTAAAGTAGCAAAAAAAAAATGGGAATACTCAAGTAAAGTACAAGTAGTTAACAGCGGTACTTTAATAAATATACTTCTTAACTGTCCACCACTGTGTTTCCTGATAAAACTTCTGTACTTTATGTGAGATATGTAGTGTTCTACTGAGAGATTTGACTACTCCCTCCCCCGCTGTTAGTAGGTTAACGTGACACTTCATAATACAGACATGACATCACCTGGTTTCTGCTGCCCCCTGCTGGAAGTCTCTCTCAGATACACTCCTTTATAACACCAGCGTCTGAAGTTTGCAAAGCAGTTTAACACTTACAGGAAGTTGACTAACAATAATAAGAGTGTTATTAATCACTAACTCAAAGCTTGTGGGACTTTTTTACGCAGAGGTTTTACGCAAAGTACAACCTTGTGGAAAGTGGTATTTCCTGATTTTATTATAGGGGAATAATGTGTTTCTGTAAGCTTTATTACACGACTCAGACAGCCCCAGCAGGAGTCGGCTTCTCCCCTCTGGTTCCTGATATTGTTCCCTGCTGCTCCCTCCCCTTTCCCGGCTCCTCCTCTGCCGGAGTTCTCGGTCCACCGAAGCCGAGCTTCCCAAACTTTCCGTGCCAAGGCTTCCTGTTAAAGCCTCTGTTATATGCAAGCGAACAGTCGAAGCCGATGGAGGGAGACGCGTAAAATGTGAAATATAAAAAAACTATGGTACTGATGACCGAGCAGGCGGACAGACCTCTGACTCCGTTATCCACACCGGAGCAACTTTTCAACAAGGACTCCCGAGGGAATCGCTTGACGTAAGTGTGGATAAGATGGAGAGGAAGGGCCCGGGTTGCTTCCCAGGCCTAATGCATTCTGGTTATTTGCATTCACATCCTGCTTTTTTTTTAATTAAAGGGCCGTGCTCATTTCTAATGGGCGCATACGTGGCAGCAGATCGGTTTACTTTGCATCAACAAGAAATACATTTTCATATGCATTCTAATAATGAAGGATAGCTGATGGTCTGCTGTGGCTATTTCATGCAGAACTTGCATGTATCCTGCATACTTAATGCGTTAAGACACGTTTGTGCCGGTGATAGATGTACAGACATAAACAATAGTGTCTGTGTGATGTGTTCAGGTCTGAAGCGGAGCATGGAGGTGAGAGGAGACAGAGGAGGCGCGGAGGCTCACCTGCAGACCCTCTGTCGTGTTTGGATTCAGAGACAGACCCCTCAGAGAGCAAAAGGAAACCAACTGGCATGAGGTGAAGAAGGTTATGTGATGCACTCTGAGTGGCTGCTCATAAACATAATACAACCACTACAGCTAAAAGGATCAGTTGATTAATCGTTGTTTACGTTCTTTTACAAGCAAAACAAACAAACAAAAAAGTTCTGTTCAAGCTTCTTCAGTGCTGCTTTCACTGATTTTCTCTGCTTTATGTCCTTTGTAGAAAATATTTTTGATTTTTGGAATATTTGTTGGACAAAACAAGACATTTGAAGATGTCACTTTGGGTGTTTTCCACTGTTTTCTAACAGTTAACTGAGAAAATTATTCGCAGATTTTTATTTTATATTTATTTAATCCTTTAAATAAGTAATCTCATTCAGATCATTTGAACAAGAATAAACATGTATAGTTACATGGACAAATACACACAAGTTAGACATTAGATTTACATTAAGAAAAGCAATTACAGGTAGAATTGCCTATTTGTGAGTATAGACTTTTAAGATGATTTAATAATGAAAATAATCATTGGATATACCCATGGGCAGATTACTGAATGGGTCTGCTGGGCACATGCCCAGTGGCCCAATGTGTCATGGGCCCTTCTGGCCTTCACCTACAAAATATCACTTGAAGAGACACAAACAAATCAGGAAGGGACTCAAAATGAGCACAAAGAAATGACCACAAAGAGACGCAATGCTGCTGCAAAGAGACACCAGGACACTCAGGACAATTACAGAAAGAGGCAAAACAACAACAAAGAGACACAAAATGATTACAAAGAGGCAAAAAATTACTGCAAAGAGAAACAAAGTGACTTCATAGAGACACAAAATGAATACAAAGAGATGCAAAATTACCAAAAAGAGACACAATATGAATACAAAGTGACACAAAACGACTACAGAGAGGCATAAAATAACTACAAAGTGTTGTGGCAATTTTTACCCGATTTGCTTGGGAGTCAGCAAACAAGACTGAATAGCTTCATGCACGAGAGTCTATTCTCTATAGAGAAGGCGCAACCTCAGGCTCAGAGCTCAGAGTTTGTGCCCAGAACAGTGAATACAGGGCATCTTTATACCTACACTCAGACAACAAGATGATGAGAAATCAATTGTAGCTTTCTTGGGCTTTCCTGATTTAATTTTGTTTTCTTGATTGTATCAGAGGAACATAACTATTGCAATCTAGTATATATAACATGTTAGGTAATCGGCTGTATCTGTTAGACAATCAATGGACTGATTTTGAAGGCGAGATTATAGTGAATGTAAATGTCTTGAGGATGTCAAGTAACGACGTAAGTTTACAAAAGGGGAATGCAAAGGTCACACACTTACAAACACATAGCAAGAATGAAATAATATAAGCACATGCATGAAGAAGACAAAATTTCCACCAAAAAAGAAATGCAAAATGACTACAAAGAGACACAAAATGACCACAAAGAGACTTAAAATGAATACAAAGAGATGCAAAATGAATACAGAGATATAAAATGACCACTGAATAATACAAGATGGCTTCAAAGAGACACAAAATGAATACAAAAAGATGCAAAATTACCATAAAGACACGCAAAATGACAATGAAGAGGTGCAAAACAACTACATAAAATCACAAAACCACAACAATAAGAGGCCAAACAACTGTAAAGTCTGTGTGTCTTGCTCCTATGTAGGAGAGATGGTTGGGCATTGTGCATTTCTGTGCCCAGGGACCCATTGTCTCATAATCTGCCCATTGATGTTCCTCTAAAAATATTGAATTCTAACTAACATGCTAAAACAGCTGGAATTAACGTAGATTCCTTGAATCTTACTGAAACTAAATCTTTGTGTTGGTATCAACTGTGTCACTTCTCACATAAAAATGTATCCTTTATGGCAAAGGCATTAATACATTTTCATCTTCTGTTGTATTTTAAAAGCTTAAATGAACTTAGCAACACTATGAGGAAATCCAAAAATATATAAGAAGTATTTTCTTGAGAATGAAATCATAAGGTAGCTCAACCTGGATTCATTTCACTGAAGTTTGCAGTTCCACCTAACAAGTGTATACCTGCATGACCAAAGTGCTGTTTACAGATTGTCTCTGTTGCTGTGTAAGCAGTCCTTATGTAACCACGGCTGACACCATGCAAAGCAAAATGAAGGACATTTACTTTTGCACAATACTTCATTTCTGTGAGCACAAGAATACAAATCACGTTTGTGTCACGAGTTACAACGTTGTAACTGTCCAACAATAGCTCATTTGTCTCACCTGTCCTCCTCTTCAGGTGTTACCTTGCTACTTAAACATAAACACAGTGACCTTTTTATTTGTCAGATTGAAACCTGTGGAGCAGCTTTCTCCAATGCTGAGTCCAAGTGACTGTGAAACAAAGTTTGAAAGGAAGAAATCTCAGCCCAGTCAAGTATGGACACTTCTAATCTAATCACCAAAGTCTTAACCTTTTACATGTTTTTGCAGTTTCTTATCAAACTGTCTTACTCTGTTTCTTTTCAGTTATCAAAGACAAACGCTCAGTATCACAAGTTATTCAAGGAGGTCAGCAAAGATGAGTTACTCAGACAAAGTAAGTTTCAAATTTTCCTCTCACATAAAGAAGCAAATACATGTTACCAAGTATTTTGTCTGTTTGTGCCCAACAGGTTACACTTGTGCCCTGCAGAAAGACATTTTATATCAGGGCAAAATGTTCGTCTCTGATCACTGGATCTGTTTCCACTCCAAAGTCTTTGGCAGAGACACAAAGGTACAGTATGATACTGCAACTGTGATAAAGTTCATGTTTTAAGACTGAATTCTGTGTCCTAACGCAGTGGTGTCTTCTCCAGATTTCAATACCAGTGTTGTCTGTGACATTTATCAAAAAAACTAAAACTGCATTATTAGTGCCAAACGCCCTCGTGATTGAAACTACTTGTGACCAGGTAAGAAGACTGTTGACACTATCCATTTTTTAACCCTTTTGACATAAACATAAAAGTGATTCTAAAATAAAACAATGTTTTCCAGCATGTGTTTGTGTCCTTCCTCTCTCGAAACACCACCTACAAACTTCTGAAGACCGTCTGTGGTCATCTGGAGGTAAATAACATCTTCTATTGAGCATTTATTTGTTCTTACTGAATTCATCTATTTAAAGTTTTCTGAAACATTTTCATTATAGTGTGAAAATAAGATAGATGATTAGTCAATCAACAGAAAATTCATCGTTAACTATTTTGGTAGTTGATTGATCATTTAAAGGTTCTGTATGTGACATTCAGATATGTGGCAGTAAACCACTATTTGCAATCTAAACATATAGTGTGTGTGTTGTTATCTGAGCTTCACTGTGGTTTCTTGTGGTAAATTTCCTGTGTATGTTAGGGCATGTGTGTAGCACACTGGGTAGTCCATTGCTGCTGCTTTGAACTGTGCTTATATGGCGGTTACAGCTAAAACTGGAATGGCGTTGTTGCTGAAGCTTAGCACCCACAGTTCCCCCCTGGCTGATATTCATGCACGGGTCAGGGTGTTTAAAAACCCACCCTGCCCAATCCATATATTCATATACACACACACACACACATATATATATATATATGTGTGTGTGTGTGTGTGTGTGTGCTAATCAATGATCTGAATCCAAACCGGAGACCTGCAGCAGAAAGTTTCTGGTAATGACCATTAGAACAGCCTACTTGCTGCTGGCTATATTGTATATCATTTACAGTAAATATCACAATATGAAATGTGTGTTTTCTCTTTTAAAAAACTAAACAACAGAAATACAGCAAGCACTCACCTGTCTTTTCAGAGGTTACGTCTTTAGCCTATGATCTGGAGCTCACAGCTGATATGTTCAGTTGTTTGTTTACATGACAGTGCTCAGCCACCTCCATGTTGAGATCCATGTGCAGACAACTCGTGTGAATTTCACACGGAGCCCCTTGAAGCACAAATATTAAAATTTTGGTGGTTCCAACATTCCAAAGTTCTCTGTTCTACATCACAGTATATGCCATATCTCTGTATTGTGGACAAAAATGCACTTTGAAGACATCATGGGCTCTAGGAAATTGTGATGGGCTATTTTGCACTATTTTATAACATTTTAAAGTCTAAACACAAATAGAATCAATAATACATTAACAGTAAAAAAGTATTTTGACATTTAGGGAGACACACTTATCCGTTTTCCTGCATTAGATGAAAAGAATGTTACCACTCTCATGTTTGTAAGCTAACTGTGAAGCTACTGCCAGCAGCCAATCAGCTTAGCTTAGCATCAAGACTGGAAACAAGGGGAAACAGGTAGCCTGGCTTTATGCAAAGGCACATGATCCCCCTGAAAAAGAAATAAACTCTAGATAAAATCTGCTGTTTGCTACCTGATCAGCACCAAATGCTAATGTTAGCTAATACCGGTGAACACAGTGGAACATTCAGCAGTTAAAGAGACTAATATTTCCGTCTGTAGGTGGTCGAGACCAAAAACAAAGCTAAAAGTGGGTGAATAATAGACTTACATTCACCAAGGTGCTAACGTTGCTAACTTGTGTGTTAAAAGCTTGTTAAGAGGTGGCCAAAAAAACAAAATGAAAAAAAACAAAACAATGAATAATACTGCTTTAAAAAATAGAAATATTTTCTTATACAAACTCATGTGTGTACTCTGTGATTCCAGGTGGATAAGACTTGTAACAGCCCTGTTATTTCCTCCTGTGAAACCAGCTTCAGAGTGAAATGCCCATCCTCACTTCCTCTGGTCAGTCAGTCTGTTTGTCCAGTTTTATGGGATGTGTTTGTACAGGGTGTATTTATTGTTTTATATTTTCCATTGTGATGAAGGATCTACAGAATTGCCTCATTCTCATGCTATACAATACCCTCTCTGCATGTGGTGTCCATTGTATATTTTCCTGTATGTGCACTGCAGGACTTTTCTGCAGACTTCTCCGACCTGGACGGGGTTGTGCAGCAAAGACGTCAGGAGATGATGGAGAGCAGCAGCTCCGGCTCTCAAACTCCAGATTATGACAAAATAAATGGTGTGTGCTCCATTTTTATCCCTCTCATGTATACTTAGTCATTACAAAGCTTCTTTACACTTACTAATCTACTGTACACACCTTTGTAGTGTTTTTATCTCTCCAAATGTGTTTAGGGTGTCAGGTGTCACTGTAGCTCAGACAGTCTTTGGTTTGCAAATAGCTGGAGCGAAGCCGAGTGAAATTTGAACCATTGAGGCTTTGTTTTCTGTTATCGTGAAGACAGTTGGCATGAAAACAGTGGTGATGTTATTGAACGATAAAGGGCATCTTCAGCTTATTGTTGATGATCAGCTTTGTTTTAACTCACACGCGAACATAGAGCACTTGTTGAGCCGTCTGTTTATAATATTTACTCATGGGCAGCTGGAGTCACAGGTTCTTTCCTGTTTGTTTGAGCAGACTTCACCAGCCTCCCTGACACATTTCTAAGTGCAGTGAAGAGCGGAGAGGTTTCAGTCCACGCAGACATTCACCTCCAGAGTCCAAGCCAAAAACACGGAGCTGCCCTCAAGAACGGTAGTTTAAAACTGGATATTTCTGAATTCAAAGAAGCTTTGTTAATGCTTCTGTAGTTTTGGATTTCAATATTTCCCAGAAGGAATTTGGAGTCAGTGGAAAAAAAGGTCAACCTCTTGTCAAATGCTATCGCTGCCTTGCTGAGTGTTAGATGAGAAGATTGATACCACTCCCATGTCTGCAGAATAAAAATGAACCACCATCATGTGGTTAGCTTAGCTTAGCATAAACACTAGAAACAGAGGGAAACAGCTAGCCTGAATCCTTCCAAATGTCGCCTAAACCCCCTTGGTAAACCACAACGTGTTCTTTTTACACTTAAACACACAAGAGAGAATGTGTTAATTAGTGAGGTTTAAAATTGCTAGTAGGTGGATTTTGTTACCTTTGGAGAGCTCGCTTTCCCTCCAGTTTCCAGTTTTTATGCTACAGTTTTTTTATGCATACATGAGAGCATGAACTGTAAAAGAATAAATAATAAGTACCAGGAGGGATGCAGAAGTGTTTGGATTTTAAACCCATGCATTTAAGGCTTAATTTGCGCAAAAAAGAAAAGATCATGTTTTGGCTTAAAATACCCCATGACACCATGTCTTGGTAAAGAACAACTGCTTTCCATGGCACTATCTGCTGGAAAAGCAGCAAGGGGTTGCTGTAAAACACCCATATTTGAAGCCCAAAAGAGATGCTGGAAACACAGCAATGACTCTCTAAATCACAATTGTTTTTGTTGGTTGTTGGTGTCAAACAGTGGGCTGCAGCTTGGCAGGCATCTCACCTAGGTGTCACGACATCCAGCATCCCCTCCACCTCCTCATGATTTAGTCAGCTCATGTACTACATTGCTTTAGAAACAGTGATATGATAGGTATGAAATGTGCAAATATAAGGTATTCATGGTTCTGGAGGTACGTACAATGCCAATATGTTCTTATGGCGACTGGACTGGGATTTTATTCTCTTTGGACTGTTTCCCCCCGTTTCCAGTCTTTATGTGAAGCTGAGCTAACCTGCTTCATATGGGCAGTGCAGACATGAGAGTGGTATTGATCTTCTCACGTAACACATGAAAACAAAACAAAAAAAACATATCTCTTAAAATGTCAAAATATTCCTTAAAAGTTTGCAGCTCATTTATTTGTTGCCATCAACATTTCTCTTTCTGCTTTTCCTTGTAGGGTCTACAAAGCTCAAAGACAAACCCTCGCAGCCCATGTCGTTACAAGCCATCCTCCTCATCTATTTGTTTTTGTGAGTAACCTTTCATTATGTGTAATATGAGACTCAGACCACAATTGTTGGATTAATTTCCATTATTTGGGCGTGTTAGCAGCTGTCCTCTGTTTGAGTGTTTGATATGTATGCATGTCTCTTCACAGAGTTAGTATTCTTGTCTTGTCCTCCTGTTACATGGCTTTCAAGATTGTGGCTCTTGAGCATCGTTTGAACTCCTTGGTGTCCATGGGGGAACACATTCGCAATGAGTAAGAGCCAGAGTCACATAATTGAGGTGTACCAAACAATGAACAAATGCACTCTTACGGTTTTCTTTTCTTTTTTTTTTTTTTTTGTAATGCAGCATCACGCTTCATTTGGTTTGTGATTTTAGTGCAAATGTTGTTGCAGAAATGCGGTGAGCCACAGGCCCCAGGAAGAAGTGAATGCTGAGATTTATGGAGAACTTTCAACCAACTTGTTTAAGCTGGAAAAGGTTTGTCCAGTTGCATGTACCTGCACAGCAAATGTGGTGACTGAAATATCTCTCATTATATTCAGTAGTTTAATTATATCATGTATCGTAATGAATTGGTTTACATAATCAAAAACATTTCACGATGTTAAGATAAGAAGGGTAAGATTTCTTACTGAAGTGCAGCTATTAACCAAAATGATTGGTAATGTATTTTTTGTCACAGTAAAATAATAGTTCACATTTATTTGCATTCTTGCTGCGAGTTACACTGGAAAGTCTGTAACACTCTGTAGGACAAGGCTAGAGCCAGGAGACAGTTAGCTTAGCTTAGCATAAAGACTGGAAATAGGGGGAAACAGCTAGCCTGCCTGGAATATAATATACTAAGTTTGTTTTCTTTAATGTATAATTACCTGGAAATAAGAATTGTTGTGTTTTTGTCACCTTAGCTGTTTATATCTACATAGAGAGCAGGTCCTTGTTTATAGACATTACCATGTTTTACCATCATGTTTCTACAGACATAGATTAGACAAACCAAAGATTGGCTCTAGATAGGGCTTTTTGTTGTTTTGTTTTTACCGGTTTAAATGACCAGGTCTGTTTGTTTTGGAGAGGAAGAGGCCTCTGTGGATGATTCAGCTCCTGCTAAAAACCTCCAGAATGTCTGGATCTTAAAGCCACAGTGTGTAGGAATTTCTCCCATCTAACATTGAAATTGTATATTGCATTCATAAACGCACTTTAGTGCCTCACTTTCAAACGCATATTGCAACAACGGTAGCTGCTGTGTAACAAAAAGCTATGATAACATTGATGAAACCATGTCATCCGATACTTCATGGAGTATTCTAGGGCTGTACCCAAATATTCAGATATTCGAATATTTGTTTCTATGGGTAGGTATTCGTTATGAAAATTTGGTATTCGATATTCGTTTTTTTAATTACTTATTTTTTTTACTTTTTTTTTTTTTTTGGTGCTAAATGTAGTCTTTCTGTTGTTGGTAAACATAGGTTATCAATAAAAATCTAAACTTTTAAATTGCATTGTTAAAAATGTGAAAATATAGTATAGCCTACCAACGGAGCTTGTGCGCACGGCACGCTTGAGCGAAACCGTCTGAGGCTGTGGATCAATGCCAAGTTTTACCACTTTATCACTATTCCCTCTAACTTGTAGCTGGTTTTTCGTTATCTTTTGAATTTAATATAAATTATGGAACCGTTTTTGTCAATGTTTGTTTCCCCCGTTTTGTACAATAAATCATTGTTTAAAGTTTCAACAAGTTTCTTTTGGAGTGCGTGACACAAGTGTGTTTTGAAAACGGCCGCGGACTGTCACCTGCTCAATGCATCCGTACCATCAGATGGCATGACAGTAATAGCCAATAATGTCAAAATATCATTTACAGACCGATTTAACAGACAATCACTGCTGCCCGACCCGCAGGTCCATTTGCGGGTCCCGTGGGTTACAGGTCGACCTGCGCATCACTACTCAGCTCAGTCTATAAGGCTGTACACACACGACTTTGTTATGCTGCAGTGGTGCTGGGGTAGTAGCGAAGCGCCTCTTGCTCCTCTTCTTCGGCTTCTCAGAGCACTGGCCTGGCTCTTAAAGAAAACGCCAAAGGCAGGGCTATTCCCTGGTGGTGCTATGTGTCCCTTGCTGGCGGATGTCTTCTCAAGATGGTGAAACGTTATGGAACCCCCAAATGACTTACCCGCCCAAAGTACAAACAAATCCAAAATTCTTCTTTTATGAGAATAAGTCAGATTATTGGTGGATGTAATAATACACCAATGATGACATATTCATGAATGCAGACATCGATTTTTGCCAATAAACAACTGAAAACACTATACAATATCCTTTTAAGTTATGGAACTTTCTGTTTGCACTTTGCGTTCATTTTGTCCATATTTGTTCACGTTTTCTGAAAGCTTACAAATACTGACGAAATGGAGCAATACCACTGGAGATCATGGAGGCAGTGTCGCGTAGTTCAAGCGAGATACAACTGTAGGAGAAGATTAGGAAATTTCAATAATGACGGAACTGAACGAATCTGAAATATAGTGAAAAGAATTTTCTGTCCTTGTCTCGTTTGTTGTTGTCAGAAACTTTGGACTCCATCCTCTAGTGCGATCTATTGGCTGTATCTATGCTATCATAAAGGACGCATGGAAGTACGTGGACATTTATGATGTTTAAAATAGACAAATCTATTTCCATACGTAAAGGCAATATAAATGAGCCTTAGCAGCGTCTGAGAAACACTAATTTGTAACATGAAACTGCTTTATTTAGTGATTTTACCAGTTTAAATCACTGGGTTTGTTTGTTTGTTTTGAAAAGGAAAAGTAATTACGAATAATTTGCCTCCCGTTTAAAAAACTGATGAACAAAGAAGTTTCAGGTGGTTACAATCTGCAATTCTCACCACTAGATGCCAGTAAATCCCCTTAAATCTTACACACTGTAATCTTTATTTTTGTTTAAATACATCCAGTCACTATAAACTGAAGACGCCAACTTTTGGTGACCTTGTTGGCCTTGTCAGTGTCATCAGCCTGGACAGAAGAGAGCTGCTCTTGGTTCTTGTCTTTTTAATTATCAGGAAGGTCGTTGTTGTAGAATGTGCGTAGTTGTGGGTCGAGGCAAACAAATTTAATGCCAGTGCTTCCATGTTATCAGTAAATCCCAAAAGGGGTGAGGCAGGGTAGAGTGGAGGGAGGAGGAATTGATCCATGTTATCAGTATGCTTACACTAAGACTATGATGTTTTGTCTTCGTAGTGCTGAGGCTGCTGTGTGTCAGGGTGCATCATCTGAGACCTCCATTAGTGCTTGAACTACAGATCTGATTGGTTATCAGTATAGTTGTTTCCTTTCAGACTGCAGGTTTTGCTGAGTCATGTGTTCAGTGAAAAGAGTCTGCCGAACCTGTTGACCCGTCTGTTGACTATTGTTAGCGGTAAAAATAAAAAAACTGATCTCCACCACATGTAGAATGATTTTGAATTTTTCAGTATTTATCAGTTGAGAATTTTTTTTAAATTTTTTGTCACAAACCATAGCTTCTGAAAGGCAGCATCAGACAGAGCCAGGCTAGCTGTTTCCACCTGTTTCCAGTCTTTATGCTAAGCTAAGCTAACCAGCTGCTGGCTGTACCTGTAGATATATGAGTGGTATTGGTCTCCTCGAAAGTGAATGAGTTTTTTCCCCAAAATTTCAAACCTTCCTTTGAAGAAGTCAATGGAATTATCTGCAGTACTTTATAGTTAATAGTAATTTAAAGGGGCTCTATGTGAAATTCAGAGTGTATGAGTTGCCTGCACGTGGTTCTCAGCATGGAGGTGACTGAGCCAGCAGCTAGCAATGAATGGTGCTAACTCCATAAACAGAGCTAAACATAGCAACAGTGCTGACAGAGTTAATGGTGTCAACTGGGGGGTGGGGGGACCAAAGGTAGGTGCTCCGTTTCCCCAACAATGCTATTCTGATAACAGTGGTAACACTGTATGAGCACAGTGGAGAGCGGTGGCATTGAGCTAGCCAGTGGGGTACACACATGCACTCACGTGCACATACGGCCAGATCGGTTTACCACAACAGACCGCAGACAAGCTTGGATACAACACACACAGAGGCAGTGTGACTATTATCTGCTCAGGACTCCATTACTGCTGTATGTCTTTATATAGCAAATACTGATTTGCTGCTATATTAATGCTCTGAATGTCGCATACAGACCCAATGATGTTGCTAGGTATGCGTCTTGCGTCCCTGATGCATTAAAATCTGAAAGGACACATTAAATTCACTACTGATGCGTCGGAGGACACACTACTCATAATGTTCTGCAAAAACTCTTTCCTGGCGGTTATTCAGTGTCATATCTCAGGCACAGACAGGGAGATATTTGGTCAGATACCGAACTGGTGACACCAATCTTGTGTGTACACCTTGAAACTGTGCTGATTGTATAGATCGCCTTTACTGTCGGGGGAAGATGTGTGTGAAGCATCCATGTTTTCACAGACATGGATGTAAACTGTAAGAGAAACTTCACTGGTGCGTGGAGGCATACAGCCACGAGGCGGTAATTTGAATGTTTTCTAATGACCTTCATCTTTTAAATCCTAGATCCAAAGAAGCCTCCGGAAGCTACTTGAAGAGACTTAAAAGAAGACTTAAAACAAGTCTGTCCAGACAGAAGCTTTACTTTTCTTATTAGAAATGTTGTTGTTTTTTATCAGCAGTGATCAGATGTGGTAATAGTTTTGTTGGAGGGCTCACATAGAAAGCTTTCTTAAAACTGTCTGAACTTTAAATTGTGCAATAATAGCTTCTTTCCTCTTTCCACTCAGGACTATTTTCTCACTCTTTCTAAACTAAATGTTGTGCTGGAGGTTAAACTAAAGCAGTGTGTTAGTGTTAGTGAAGTTTCAGCATATATGCAGTGCAGTATTTATCTGAGAGCTTTTATTTTGCATATCACAATAGTGGAATTTTCTTTAAAGGTCCAAAGGTCATATTTCAATGTTTTCAAAACATTTCTTTAAAAGGTCAACGTGTGCTGTTTTTATGTTTTTTGTTAAAATTAAATTTTAGATGAATTTTATTTATGTTATGTAGACAGGGATATGTGTACAATATCTGCTAATGACATATATTAAAAGGCAGCCTCTTGCAGTGTGTGGTGTTGGAAAATAGAAATGGGGCGGTCAGGGTTATGTGAGGGGAGGTTTGCTAAGTGAAAATTGAAAAGTTTAATTAGTATTTATATTGTAAATTTGGCCCACTCCAGCTCATTGAAGAGCCTCTCAGCTGGTCATAATTTATAAATCATGTCCTGAACATTTCTACGGAAACTTTGATTTTTGTGTATTTAAAGAGCTGTTAATCATTTCAGGGGCAACAGAAAAGAATGAGCTCATGTTTTAAGCTGTGGTGGTTTTTTTTACATTCGGATCACAGTCTGTGCCTTTACCTGTTGTGTGAATCGCAGTCCTGAAATAAATGTCTCTCATATGGTTTCTATTGAAGTGAATTTGTATTTTTTGTGAGCAGTGAGTTTGTCGCCACACGGTCAGGTGACACACCGGCAGAGCATAAACAAATGAATGCAAATGATTCACAGAAAGCTTTGACGTAACCTGATCACAGCTAACATGATAAGAAAGGTGCCAGCAGGCAGTGTGGAAAAAATTTACCTGAATAAAAGTAGAAATACTACAGTGTAGAAATACGCAATTACACGCAAAAGTCTGGACAACACAAGGACATAGTATCACAGAAATGTACTGAAAGTATCAAAAATAAAAGTACTCATTATGGAGTGTGAGCCCTGTTAGTGTTACATATCATTGATTTGTTACTGGTGTTAATCTGGTGTTAATGTTTTAATCAATAAAAATGCATCATATTTTATAAAGTCATCATACATTTTGTATGTAATATTTTAGAGTCAACCCACACAGGTGATTTTAGACCAAAAGGTCCAGTGTATAGGATTCAGTGGCATGAAGTGTTGAGGTTACAAAACTGAACCTTTTCCGGAGTGCCTAGCTTGTAGGACAACTACAGCAGTTGGCACAATAAAATGAAAAAAAAAAACAAAAACAAAACATAGTTATGAATATTATATTATCTTCAATTTCTGTCAAAAGATGCCCCTAAATCCAACACACTTGACCTTTGAGTTTCTTTAGTGGACTTCTCAGGTGTGGACGTGTACAAACTGCACTTTACTGACATCTCCCTTCTGTTGGTTTTACTTTGAAAGGGGGGATAACTTGCCCTGATTATTCTAATCAATACAGGTGACATTACATGATTCCCAGCATTAACTTGCTCCCAATTTGCATCTGACTAAAAGTCTGTGCTTTTGGGTAGTTTAATGTCTTACAATGCATTGCATTAAAAGTTCTGCAGATGTTTTGTATGTCAAATCTTAATTTGTTAAGGGACTATCAGATAAAGCTGTAAAATACATATAGTGAAGTAGGAAGTACAATATTTGCCTGTGCAATGAAGTAGAAATAGAGATTAATATTAAATGGGAACACTCAAGTAAAAATAGCTCAAAATTGTTCTCAGTACAGTACTTGAATAAATGTAGTTACTTTGCACCACTGCAGTGTTTTTTTACTTAAGAATCTGAAGACTTCCTCTGTCACTGGTGGGTGTGCACAACATTTTATTTGCAAAGTATTAACTGTAACTGTTTAATACTGTAAATGTAGTGGGCTAAAAAGTACAACAGTTTGTTCTGAATTGTAGTGGATTAGAAGTATAAAGTTGCATAAAATGGAAGTATTCAAGTAAGGTTCAAATACCCCAAATACATAAATGTACTCCAGCACTGCTCTTCTTCAGCATCTAAACATAAACATGTTCTGTGGTTCAGTCTCTATCTGCTCCTCTTTCCTCTTCACACCCACTCTACTGTGACTCATTTTTATTTCTTTCAGCTGCTGGTTTATTCTATCTGGTCTTTTTTTTTTATTTGTGTGGCTGAATGTGAACATGTGTTGTGCACTAAAAAATCTGGGGGGAAAAAAAAACAACTAAACACATAGGTTGTTATGCAGTTTTCACACCAAGAATTAATGCAGTTCTGAAGGCAAAAGGGGTCCAACCCGGCACTAGCAAGGTGTACCTAATAAAGTGGCTGGTGAGTGGATGTCAGACTCCAGCCTGCTTCTCCAAACTGGGGGCATGCTGACTGACATCTACTGTGTGTAATACACTAACTAAGGATAAGTACCTCATACAACCCCACTTAAAAAAACAAACTATCCCTTTAAGGTATCAAAAGTAAAAGTGCTCAGTTTGTTTTTTTCATCGCTGCTGCTCTTAACTTTTTTTATGTGTGTGTGTGTGTGTGTGTGTGCGTGCATTTCTAATTGTTCTTATACCAAGGAATTTTCATTGTACATTTTGTGTAATGGCAATAAAAGATTCATTCATTCCAAGAAATGCCCCCTGTATTCTGATATACTACAGATCTATAAATAAATATATATATATATGTGTGTGTGTGTGGGGGGGGGGGGGGCACAAACAGACACACATTTCATACAAAAAGATCTAAACAAAAGCTGAGAAATACACATAAAAATAAAGGCACAAAAAGCAGGAACATTACAGACAAATGCTTGCGAAATGCATTTCTAAAAATCTGTTATCTGGATGTTTATTTCACAACAAGGCGAACCCGCCCACTCGTGAGTTCTGAACCAATGACACGCGCGCCTCCACATCTCGTCTGCCTATCAACCCGCGTTCAGCCCACTGCATGACGTAACACCCAGTCTGAAAGTGCAATGGCGATATTGGACAATAACAGCCATCGCTTTTGGGGAACCACATCTATATTATGTGGCTAACGTTAAAGAAAACACCTCCAGTCGGCTGTAAAACCACATGTAATATCGGCACACTGCGCGAGCGACTACCTGCGACCAGGAAAGGTGATTCCACAGCCTCTGCACGCGATGACAGTTTAGAGTGAAAAAAACGCTGGTAAGTGCAAACTCTAGTGATTCCAGCAACATTTGCTCAAAAGCTCTTTTCCAGTTGCTAAACGGTCTCTTTCAGGCTGCAAGCTTGAGATTTCAAAGGGGCGTGGCAGCGTGCTGTGCTGGGTACCACTTCTGACTAAAAGGATGCTGATAGCTTAGCAACAGCGACAAGGAAGGAAAAAGGAAGCAGAGGAGAGACAATGGATGTGCGATTTGTCAGCATCGTTACTGGGTAGGCTGAGCGGAGCGTGTATTGTTAGAGTAGAAAGAAAGGCAGCATCATCAGTTTGTGCCAAGTCAACCACAAGAAGGAGCCACGGATGCAGACTCGAAATGTAAACAAAGGGTGTGGGCCTCTCAGCTGGCCTGTGATGAGCAACCATTACTGGAGGAGAGGATCTCACACTCATGTTACACTCATGTCTCAAAGGCTGACAGTGTGTTTAAAGGCCAGGAAATATTCACCACCGCTCTTCTCTGTAACTGTTGCATCAAAATGAAGTCTTCTTTACGTCTTCTTCTTCTTCTTCTTCTTCTTCTTCTTCTTCTTCTTCTTCACCCCCCTCCCAGGTGTGACGTGTGAACAGACACCATGGCCACACAGGAGCCGTCCCCTCCCTCGTCCATGGAGAGCAATAAACCCGGCTTCCCCAAGAAGATCCTGGGCAACAAGCTGGAGGACAAACACCTGTGCAACTGCTGCCACAACATACTCAGACGACCGTTTCAAGCCCAGTGTGGACATCGCTTCTGTTCCTACTGCTTCAACAGGACTGTGAGGTAAGGGACTGCATCACTGAGAGTGTGTACCATGTGTGTGTTGGGGGTATCTGCAGTGGTGGAAGTAAAAGTAGCAATACCATAATGCTGTGAGTAAAAGTTATTAACAAATGTACCTTATAGTATAGAAATATTAGCATCAAAATACACTGAAAGTACCAGAAGTAAAATAACTCATTATGTCAAATGACCCATTTCAGAATAATAAAGTAATATTGTATGCCTAAGTCATAATATAATTCAATACTATATATAGTATATCACTAGGTATACACTCACAGGGTCCATTTTTCTGCACTGAGTTTTACTTTTGGCCCCTTAAGTACATTTTCCAAAAAATACTTTTGTACTTTTACTTTTGTGGCAGTGGTGGAGGAAGTATCTGGATCTTTTACCATGTGAAAAGTAGCAGCACCACAGTGTTGGCATACTCTGTCATAAATAAAACTCTGGCACTCAAAATCTTACTTAAGTAAAAGTACAAAAGTATTAGCATCAAAAGATATACTAAAGTACAAGAAGTAAAAGAACTTGTTATGCAAAAAGACCCATATCAGAATAATAAAGTATATATTATATGCATGAATCATAATAATCAAAGTATAGTATAGTATAGTATAGTATAGTATATCATTAGGAATACACTCACAGGGGCCATTTCTGTCCATGTAGTATTTTTACTTTTGACCCTTAAAGTACATTGTCCTGATGATACTTTTGTATTTTTATTTAAGTAACATGAAAAGTAACAGTACCACAGTGTAGACATACTCTGTTACAAGTAAAAGTCCTGCACTCAAAATGTTTCTCAAGTAAAAGTACAGAATTATTAGCATGAAAATATACTTAAAGTACCAAAATTAAAAGAAGTCATCATGCAAAATGACCACTGTCAGAATAATAAGGTATATATTATTTGATTTTAAGTGTTAGACTTTTTTTTATTTGAATTGTTATAATAACTTTTAATATTTTATTTATTATAGTTATATAATTATATTTTTTGTAATTTTGTGAAATTTTGTAAAATTTTGAATTTGAATCTGAAGAGTAACTCAAAAACTAACAATTATTGTAAAACTTCAATTAATAGCCTGGGCTATTATTTGCTTAAATCACTGAAGTCAACAGGCTTATATTAAATTTAATTCCTTTTATGCAGAACTGTTGCTCAACAAAGATGGGAAAGACAATCAAATTATTTATTTAAACCAGTCTGAATATTACTTGTATAAGAATAAGGCTTCAAATACCATATCAATTACAAATCATTCCTTTAATCTAGCTCCGACAGACAGTGCATCAGAGAGTGTTATGACACTCTTTTTGCAGCACTCAAGATTTACGGCACCTGTCATACCTACCCAACACCACTTTGTCCTGTTAAAACAATTTTCACAACTTTCATGAAAACACTTTTGATTTTTATGATCGTGACCCTCATTAAAGGAACATGAATAACTTTCCAGGTAATCGAGGAATGGACACATTCTGACCTTGTGACAGCTTCAGAGGAAGAGAGTCACCTTTTTTTTTATCATGCCAGTAAAGCTGATTGAATTACGGTCTTCTTTGGTGCCCATGGTTTTAGTAAAATAAACTGAACGATTGGATGGTGCAGAATCTGAGCTAACAATGTGTAGCATCTCCATACTGTTTAAACATTTATATTTGTATGTGTGATCTAAACAGCTATCTAACCTTAGCGCAAGTGGGTATCCAACAACCTGTTTTATACA